GATATCGGATATAGGCATAATCTTCCATATTTTTCTTATTATTTACACCAAAAGTATTAAAGTAGTAGGGCCATAAAACAAAATTTTCACCGTAAAGAGATGAAAAGTGAAAACGATAACTGAAATATTCAGTCTGAAGAATTTTCTATTTATATTAATTCATTTTATGAAGAGAAACAAACATCCATGTTTTTAACTTTTAACTCCCTGCTCAGTGCTCACCTCTCCTCTCCAGTGAGTGACTTAGTAAGAGATCGATGATGAGGCCCCATTGACCATTGTCGGTGTTCTATAAATGGGTTCTATGTGAATGGCATATATCAGAATCCAATCGGGTTTGGGTGTCGAGCATATGAGTACTATATATCCGTGAGGACCTTAATAAAAACAACTAATTAACAATGATTTTCATGACACATGAACCTGAAACCCTCTAGGCTCTAGTAAAAGAAGTAAAAAAAGCCTAACATATTGGGTTGGACCCGGATCTAATTCATGATCCGGTCCATACATATCCTTCCGTGGGTATAGCTTATTACTTAATGGGTTTGTTCTTTGTTGGATCTGGGTCGGTCCCAGTTGGAAATCGGAACAGAATCGGACATAATAGGGTTTATACTTTTTATACCTAGAATTGAATCGATTGATTCTTAGGACAATCAGGTCTGATATAACTCGGGTCAGGTCTGAATCGGTTTGGAATTGGGTAGAACATGTTCCGAGCTGAAAATAATCAGGACCCGGAATCGATCCATCGGTTCTGGTTCCTGAATCCTGAATCAAAACCAACTCAAATGGTTTGGATCCGTCGGGTCGGACCCAGATCCAACCCATTGACAGTCCTCCCTACTTTTTAGTCAATGTGAAAAAAAACAAGGATTTAAAACATGGACAAAATGATGATAAATTTAGGAAGTGAGAAATGACTTAGAAACCTCTGCCTAACAAAAGGTGGGCATGGGATTATGAGTATTCATTTCACTTTCCTGAATAATTTAGACACCATTGGAGAAATAGATATGTGATAAGAAATGTTGGCTACGGTTATTTGCAGGTCCATTGGGCTCATTTCATTCCACAGAGATGTCTGTCCAAACCTTGCACAAAATAAACATTCTCTACAAAAAATGAAAAAGAAAACAAAAGAAAAGGACAATAACCATGGATTTTGGTTACTTCCTCTTTCTGTTGTTTGTTTATTTAGGCCAACAAGGCAACAAAACTGCTCCTCATGCCTCCATTCAATCTTCATCAGATGATCAGTCGAAGACCCGTTGAGAGTTAGCTTTAGTATAATTCAGTTTAAATGCGGAAGCAAAGGGCAGATTGTGATTAGTACAAGTGTTCATGTGCTGCATTAAATGGGTCGTGGTATATCCACCACTCTTTTAAATGAACACTTGAGAATTGAGATTTCTTTATCTCTATGTCAGTCTCTGTCCCTCCTTTCATGGCTTTTGTTGTTGTTCGTGTGATTTTATTTACAAAACTCACCAAGGGCCAAGGCTGTACTAGTAACACTAATAAATAATAACATTTGGATTTTGGGAAACAATGCTAAGTTGGTTCTGAGGACACTGTGAGGTCAATGCATGGTGTAGGCTAAGATCCAATGGTGAACAACTAGGCTGCTGCACCATTGGTCTAATGCTAAGCTGGTTTTCTAATGAATGAAAGTTGATGATGTGTAATTTGCTCGCTCCCTTGTATTCTTAGATTGGGTTCGAATAAGGTCTTAATTTGGCAGTGCCAAGCTGCACGGCTGAACTAGTATCTATGCTTTCAAACTGGAAAGAGTTGTAAAGAAAAAATGACTAAAGTATTTGGATAGGTTTTATCCAAGAGAATACTCCAATGCTTAAGTCGGTACGAGAATTTTCAAAAGAATGTGTGAGAGAGTTTAAGTGCTTCAATGTGCATACCTTTTTAGGTGAATTCAAAGCCCTTTTATAATTATCTGGGTTCAGGTGCCTTGGCCCCACCTCTGAGTCTTTGGCGGAACTGTTTCCGCAATATAAGACGTATTGACATATCAGTTGTTAGATTCACGTAACAGTTACAGATTGTCCACGGGTCTTGTGGCACACAGTTTAGCGAACTGCTCCTATGATCGCGGTAACAACAGCCACGAGGGCGTGGCACGCGAAACGGTTTGGGCGAGCTCGTGTTTGACTACGTGTCAAACTCTCGTCAACTCGGCTGCCCACCTAACGTCGCATGTCTCGTACTGTCTTGTCGAACTGGGCTGCCGATGTGGACGCAAAAATAACATCCACGTATGAACCATTGAAGGGACCAAAGTGCCCCTCATAAAAAATAACGAAAGGAGGTCTTTTTATGAACCATTGGACTGTAGTAGTCGTCCATTTTCACAAACACAGAACGAAAATCCACACAATCCCTTCCAAAGGGAAATGAGTGGAAGAAGTTAGCTTCCTAATTTCTATCCACTCGTCTTTACTCTTTTAACTCCCTCCACCCCCTTCACTCACTCTCGCTCTCTCTCTCTCTAGATATAGCCCAGCAATGTAGCTGCACAGGAGCCAGGAAGTAGGCCCACCACCGACCAGCTGTGCATTTCACTTTCAGCTAATTGGCCTAAAATTTGATGTTCGATTCAGAACACGAAGCTCCACCACCCACGAACCCCAACCCGCTACAAAACTGAAGTTACTGAACATGCTTTACAAACCCATAACAATAAGGCTGCATTTGGTATTTTTTATTAGATAAATCCTTAAAATCAAGAATGTCAAATGCAGCCTAATTCATCCAAGGTTATGACATAGTAATAGATCTACCCAAGTTAATAATAATAATAAGCCTTACACATGAAATTAGACAGGTTGGTCAATAATAAACCAACAGCTGGAGCTAATTTGGATCCGACCCACTTTCTTATTACGCAAGACCTTAACCCAATCTCAATATAAAAAAAGGTAAAAAATCTTAGAAGTAGGGGCATTATGGGTCGAATTGCTTTATTTGATATAGATTAAATAAGGGTAAAAGACTTAAACCTCTCTTAAAATTTTTACATAAATACTGAAACTTTTCCTTTCATTACAAAATGACTAACACCTCCCCTGTTGATGTCATCTGACAAGACCTCCCTTTCTTTTGCTTGTATGATGTTAAAATTTTTCAAAAACTTATTTTTGCCTTTTTACGGCGAAGCAAGGAAAAATATAAAAATAAATATGTTGTTATTTTCTAATATTTTTGGTAGGTGTTGAAACCTGCAAGATTTGACCATGGAAGTGAGATTCAATCAATAGAATCTTGCAAAACTGTAATTTGGGTGTTTTACAAATGGATCTTCAAACAAGATCAGGTTTTCGTGCAGAGTGGAGCTCACCTCCTAATTGGTTCCTAATTGGTTAGCTATATTGCTAGATGATGGAGAGTTTAATAAAGAAAACAAATACTAAATTGTTAATGCCATATTTGTCATCTATCAACAGATTGTGAATACTCAAATGAAATAGCATATTTGACAATCCGAGCTCAATGGTTTAAAGCCAAATTGAGCTGTAGCCAAAATAAAACTCCAATTGAGTTTACATGAGCATTAATTATCTATCTGTTATCCTTTCAAGGAAATAAAAGTGCTGAAAAAAGTGCAACAAATCCTGATCGAATATATACTTGCTGTTAGATATGAGGTCGAGGGTAATAAGGAGATTTCAGAAACTTTAATAGTTAAGTTAGTAGAGTGCTTAAGAGGGGCGGGACCAAGTAAGAAATGAGGGTTCAAAGTTTAATCCTTAATAAACATTAGTAGTTCTTTTGGGATTCTAATGTGTATATACTTACTTTGAGATGGGCACCTCCTTTTATATAGCTAACCTTGCCTAAAAGTGATAGAAATCAGTTGATGATGGGCTGTCAAGATTTGATCTAACCGATGCCACATGGCATGATCTGAGGCCCATTAGGTATGTTAAAAAACTAATTAATATAAACATAGTGATAGATTGTCTGATTTCAACTATTATCAAGGTTTTTAAAATTGATTCGGAGAATGAACCAGTTAAGGGTTTGGTTCTCGGGTCGAATGGTCCGACCGTTTGAACTCAACAGTCAGCCTGTTCTGATAAAAATAATTAAAAAATTAAAAACGGTCAAAACCATTTTATCGGTTAACCGCCCGGGTCAGCAGTTTGCTGACCAAAATCAATGTTTTTAGGGAAAAATGGAACCGGTAACCTAACCGGTTCCTAGCTTTTCCGGTCGGACCGTCAGGTCCTGTTTTGAAAACCATGATTATTATTACCTCAAATGGGACGGAAATTTGAAATAGAAGGGATGCATTCTGATTTTTATAACAATTCTGTTATTTTGAAAATTTAATGATTTACCAATAATAATTAGAAGAAATTTGAAGGGGGGTTTAAGTCTTTTACCCATTAAATAAGAGACAAGTGCATAAACAAACCGGTTCACGACAACGATAATTTGCCGAAATAGGAGTATAGGACATTACATCACCTCCACATGTTCACAACAACTATGAATTTAATTTGCGGGTCCCACTCCAGCGGAAGGATTCAGGATTGTATTGTAGTCCCTCGTTGTCGCAATCTGCTCAAATGTTTGATAGTCTGAGTGATTAGTGATCATCCACAACTTATGCTCATCCCCGATAATTGAAAAAGATCAAATATTCCAATCTGACGGTCTAAAGAGAGTAACTTACGGTCCTTTTCCAACTGTGAGGAGGTCTCTGATGTGATCCCTGTCTTTCTGGTGGCTATTGACATTTCGGTAAGGGAAATTTTGGTAATTTCCTTTGGAAGCCAGATCAATTAATGAATTGATCAGGCCTCAGGGATGTAGTAAGTGACTTCACTGGGGTAAGGTGGAAAGTAAAATCCCATCAGTTGCTGCAAACTAAATGCTATTTAATTGGAATTATTACTGGTTGAATGCAATTAAGACGCGACAACTGTACAAAATCTAAGACGTGTAGCACTGCTACTGCCTGTAAGTATGTAAAACCAAGTTCCGGTCTGCGACAAATGAGAGGACAGGTGCTGCCAAAAGCCAAAGGCAAGGATTATATGAATTGAATTCCTGGAGACTTTAGATCTTCTTTGGATTCATTCACCGACGAAAATTCATCCAAAGAGTTGTGATTTCTATGAAAGTTTTAGACCTTAAATCAAATGCTAGTACGCTTCTATCAAGTCTCTCTCTCTCTCTGTAAGCTTCTGTTCTGAATTTTGAGTTGTTTAAATATGAGTGTAATAAAAAGGCATTGCGCTTTCTGTATTTGATTAATTAATGCCACTGAACAAGGTTTTCTCAGGTTGGTTTCACGTCCCAAGAACCAAAGATTCTTTAGTTTTTTATGTTTCCCATTTGAGTTTTTATATATTTCTGTTTCTTTTATAACTGGGGGGGTTCCCTTGGTTTCTGGTTCTAACTTAATATCTGTCCCCTTCTTCCTCTCTCATGAAGGCCCATCCTGAGGCCTGAGCCATGCTTTGCTGGGATTTTCGAGTTCAGCTCCTGTAGTGGTAGGCTTGATTCCCAAAAGACGCGCGCATTGTTTCAAGTGCTTTGAAGTTTGAAATAATCTTATCTTTTTGAGTGATTTATGAGGATTTTTTAGTTGGTTTCCTATCGCACTTGCGGTGGTTGAGTTGAAGGCTTGAGGCCTTACAGAACAGAACCGGTGGGCTTGCAAATTAATTTTGGATTAGAGCTGCAGATACTTGTTCCAAAATTAGAAAGAAATTACGGGGAAGGACGAAGGGGTGACATGCTTCTGTAGCCTCTTTTTCCAGCTTCAATGGTAGAAAGCCCGGGCAACGGTGATTCTGAAAACCATGGCAATGGAAAGTGATGGACCCTTGAAGGCAGTGCTGGTCAGAAATAGAGGAAGGTTGCAGAGAAGAGTTTTGAGTATTTGAAGGCAGAACCCCCTTGACATAGGAACAGTGTAAAGGAAAGAGATGCCTACAGTTTGGTTTGTTCTAAAGAGATCACTCCACTGCAAATCAGAGCCTTCAGATGTTCATGACCCGAAAGCCAGGAGCCATTTGAGCACCATCTTGACAAGAAAAACAGGGAGGTCCGGCTGTTCAAGGTCCATAGCAAACCTGAAAGATGTAATCCATGGAAGCAAGAGACACTTGGAGAAGCCTCCGAGTTGCAGCCCGAGATCTATTGGAAGTAGTGAGTTTCTCAACCCAATAACGCACGAAGTGATTCTCAGTAATTCAACATGCGAGCTCAAGATAACTGGTTTTGGGGGTTTACATGAAGCGGCTGGTGGTGGTGACTCAACATTTGTGGGTACGCTTAGGCCTGGGACACCTGGTCCTGGAGGGCACCATACCATGCACTACTACAACCCTTCATTTAAGAGCTCAGCCACCCCTCCCAGGAAGTCTCCTGGTTTTCTCTCTGATAGAGAAGGCTCTATATTTGGAGGTTCTGCTATTTTTGGTAGCGGGGATGGTGGTGGTATTCCACCAAATCCCAGGGCTTCCCATGATGTAGATTCTCATGGTTCTTCCACTGTGACTTGCCATAAATGTGGAGAGCAATTTGGGAAATGGGAAGCTGCAGAAGCCCATCATCTATCCAAACATGCTGGTAAGCAATATTATACTTCTCTGCAAGCATTTTTTTTTTTTTTTTGCATTTCAAAAAGATGTTTACATTTGACGCTTCTTCCTTCATTAGTAGAGGAAACCTAATATTCTCCTTAGTCCTTTCTACGCCAGGCTTCTTTTTGATAATTTCTAGCGGACTTCTTTCTTTTCCCTAGGTTCTGATTTCTGAATAGGGGAAAGTCGCCATCTGAGATTACTTTGTATCCACAATTTTTTTTCTCCTCTTATAGTTTTCACAACAAATGCATCCTTCAGAATTTTAAATGCAGTGAATTTTCTTTTTTGTGAAGAGAAAAATAAAGGAAATCAACTTTCCCTTCCTAAATGAAGTTGCATATGGAGGCAAGGTCATTAATTCCAAAAATTCATCTATTGCCATGAGGACTTCATTACCCTTTGAACTTTTCACTGGCTTGTTCTTCCTCTTGATTCTCTGAAACCTTGGTGGGCATCTCTGTTTCCTAGTGTTTTATTCTCTTCTCAAAGACAATCTATGTTTCCTCTCTTTATTAGATGCTCACATGTTCTTTATTTAGATATAATTTCTTCTATAGATTTATATTATTTATATATTCAAATTTAGTATAAGCTCTAACAAACTAGTAAGATAAAGAGTTTACTCATCCATTTCATATTCTCGATCATCTGAATTATTTGAGTTAGTAACAAAATGTGTAACTCCTCATTCTCCTTAGTATTTTTGTTGAATTTCCATGCTATTAATTTGTTCTAATATCTAGCATTTGCTTCATCTAGTTCCCTATATTTGGATTCAATTCATCCAACTCTCAACTTTGAACATATGCTCTTTCTTTCTTCTCTGGGGTAGTTTTCTCTGCCAATGATTCACTTTCTGCTCTATGGACCTGTGCAGTCACTGAACTTGTTGAAGGAGACTCATCTAGGAAGATTGTAGAGATAATTTGTCGGACAAGTTGGTTAAAGACTGAAAGCAACTGTGGGCGGATTGAGAGGGTATTGAAGGTCCACAATATGCAAAAGACCCTAGCTCGTTTTGAAGAATACAGGGAGATGGTGAAGATGAAAGCCAGCAAACTCCCCAAGAAACACCCTCGTTGCCTGGCTGATGGAAATGAGCTTTTGAGGTTCTATGGCACAACTGTGGCATGCTCCCTTGGTATGAATGGCTCTTCCAATCTTTGTGTGTCCGACAAATGCAGTGTTTGTCGGATTATAAGACATGGATTTTCTACCAAGAAGGAGATAAAGGGAGGCATTGGTGTTTTCACGACTTCCACAAGTGGAAGAGCTTTTGAATCGATCGAACTTTATGAAGAAAACCTATCTGTGAGGAAGGCTCTAATAGTTTGTCGAGTGATTGCTGGGAGGGTCCATAGACCTTTGGAGAACTTCCAAGAACTAGCAGGACAAACGGGGTTCGATTCATTAGCTGGGAAAGTGGGCCTTTATTCAAATATTGAAGAGCTCTATTTGCTTAACCCTAGAGCTCTTCTCCCTTGCTTTGTGGTAATATGCAAACCCTGAAAGATTAAAAGATATTCCTTGTCTTATAGCTTGTGAAAGTTTTGTGAAATTCATTTTCCTTTTTCTTCATTACCCTATCTCATGGTTCAATCTGGCTGCTTAATTGTCAGTGCAACAACCCCTATAACATGGTTTGATCTAGGTGATTAATTGTCTGTGCAGCTATTTCCTTGTTCTTTTTTCTTCTTAATTCTTTTATATATATGTAATCGAAAGAATGTTGATTCCTCCTTGCCCCAACCCACATGGTACAGATCAGTAGGCTCCTTCTCCATGTTGACTGTATCTGCCACCTAGAAATGCTTTCATGTCTATCCTTCATAATAAAAAAGAAGAAAGATAATCATCTTTGTTCATGGTGCCTCTGCTTCCTCAGAATAAAAATGTGAGATTAGGGAAGTTGTGGATCCTTTAGGTGTTTGAACTTTTGCTGTCTTTTAACCATTAAGCAGCCACCAGCTAGATTTTGTTTATATTTCCCCCCCTTAAGGTTAATGAATAATGATTTATATAGCCACTCGCGAGAAATAAGCAAGACCCGCTTCCAGTCAAAAGAGGAGAAACTATCATCTAGTGTCTCATTTAGGGGACATGGGGATCTTCTATGGGAACTTCTTAGCCTAAACAAAGTAGAATTGAATCTGGGTTTTGGTGTATTTCATCTGGTCACTATCATTTTGAGCAGTGGATTGAGCGGGACCCTTGAGCACTTGGGGTTAGGAGTATCATATTAATATATGTTTTAGCTAAAACCTCAATTGTGCTGTGTTTAATGCTTCGGTTTTCTATCATGACATAACAAAATACAGACGGTAGTGCTGCCCCTGAAATATTCAAGCTCTGATCTGTCTGACTTTAATTGACAGTTAATACCCAGGCCCCAGGGCAGACTCTGTTTTTATGTTCAAACTTCATCTTCATCAATGCCACAGTCCTAGTTGGAGTTTGAAACTTGAAACGAATCAAATGAATAGTTAGTTCTTTACTATGAATTCCCTTCCAAGTAGCAAACACTCGAACAGATAAAATCTTACTCCCAATTTGCATTACAAGGTGAAAGGGGAATGTGGTCCTTATAGTGGGACATGTTTGAGGTTGGGGCAGAGGTAGGTCCAAAGTCTAGGACCATACGGACAAGAAGCAATGCCGTCTTAAATGGCCTATCCTCCGAGTAGTCAGATTATTGTCCCTTCCGGCTTCCACACCCATATATATAATATATATCCCAGGGCCCAGATTTGAATGTCTCTATTAAATTCTTGTTCTTGAAATGCCCGCTCTGCATCAACTTCAGAGGTCTCTGATCCTATTGTTAATAGAAGATGAGATGAATTTGGGTTGGGACTTGGAACCGCACCGTCTTTGTTTGTTAGTTTGTTGCTTCACTTTGGAATGGTTTTGGCTTTCACTACATTGCATGTACAGGTTGGGTGTCCCATTGCTGTAACCACACCACTGCTCTTACTGCTTAGTTTTGAATGCCCATGGATGGTACATGTGTTTTATAAATATTACCGTACCAAGTGAGGCTTGCAATTTTGATTTTTGAATTGAATCATAAGGGGTTACTGATGGAATTCAATTGTTGTCTTAGATATATCAATACCAAACCAACTGTGAAGATAAAATAAAAAAAAAAAAAACAACTGTTAGAAACCATAGAGATTACATCTGGAGAGGAGATTATAGGTTGCGACAAAACGACAGTCTCATTCAAACTTATAAGATAATACCATTTGATTTTTATTTATATCAATAGAGTTGAACTGAACGTAATAAATAAATAAACAGTTGAACACGCCTGGAATGACAATTTATTATGGTTCCAGCTCACGACATAACAATAATGCATACCAACTACTGATTGCGCATTAATCCACTTTAAGTGCCAACTCCCATTCTCCTATCCATATCCATATATTAATTGGCTACAACTTTTGGCCTACTGTCGAATTTGGAGGTTAAATTTAGGTTTGTCGTCGTTCAGAGGAATGTGGAGACTGTTAAAGGGGGCCCGGTTCAACTTAAGGAGTAGATTATCCGGAATATGGGTGCTCAACCAAAGTGATTCAATTAATGCAGCTCGCCCCAAAATAGGAAAATAATGGGCGTAAGAGCCTGTTTTTGGGAAGAGAGGGCTTAATCGATATAGGGATGCTCAATCCAAGCTTGCCCCAAACTTAGAGCCTGTTTTTGGAAAGTTGATTTTTAGGCTCATTTAAGTCTTTTCAGCTTTTCAAATTTTTATCAAACGGGGCTTTACGACTTTTCTGGTTTCTTGGCTCATGCGATGCAAAAGCAACGGTGTGAAAGCACTCTCAAACAGGCACCAAGTTAGTCATGGAATGATGCATGGTAGCTGTGTATCAGTCGAATTGCAGCTTTCAAAGCAGTTAAATGGGTAAATGGTAGTTAACAATATAATTAATGGTAGCAAAGTAGGAACGTACCAGGACAGAACTTGGATTCAACACCGTCCTCACAGCCATTTGCATTGTAGCCGTGTATTGGGAATATCTCCTCATGAATAAAAATATTTTCAATACACCATTGCAAGTGGCTGTGAATACGATATAAACATGATCTTGTGAGGACTGAGTTGGATCTCACCGAGACATTGGCCCACGTCAATAGATGATTTAATCAACAATTCACTAGTAGGACTAGTATCACAACTAGAAGTTTCCTTTGAAAAGACCTACTGCTTATTCAATTTAATTGCTTCAATTTATTAATGTTCTTTTGAATAAATTAGACTCAACTAGGCACTACGTTACAACATGCTTCTTTTATTTTTAGTAGATTAAGAAAAGCAACAGCAAGTTCATAACCCATCCGACCACATTAGTCCACAAGGGTTTTGAATAAAATTAGATCCCATCCTTCTGTTTTAACATTCCAGATCAACTGGGGTCCGGCGCAAGACTGATCTACCACTGGTCGCCGCCTTCGGCTTTGTCCCTAACAGTATGGATATCGGCTTCATTGCTCACAAAACCGTGTTTGCACTGTCAGTACAGTCTTTTACAACTGTGCATTGGAAATATCTCTACCTTTTTTTCATGGGGAGATATTCTTAATACAAAGCTGTAAAGAACTGTACAAACGGTATGAACACAGTCTTATGAGTACCAAATCCGATTTCGGCAGTATGATTTTTGTAGACGATGTGAGAACAACTCTTTTCACCAACCCTCATTTTAGAACACTGATTTCCCAATTGACAAGATTTGAATGCTAATTATAATTATGTATCTTCAGACAAGGTCTTCAAATGTTTGAATGGCAGTTGTAGTTATACGGGGCCAGGGTGTAAGACTGTAGGTCGGCCAAATGGCAAGACGGAGTACAAATTCCGGACCCAGATCAACCGAGAAAAACAAAAAAATCACGATGATTTCAAAAGTCTAGACCAGATGTGTTTTGCACCTGAATTTTGTTGAAAGCAAAATACCCTGCATTCAGAATGTATCAACTATTGAGAAATCTATCAATAGGGAGGATTTAGAGTCCAAAATTTGCCCCACATTACTGTCTTTCTAGGTGGCAATTTCTTAGATCAGTAGCGATCCTTGTCACGCCTAAAGGAATTTAATCATTTCTTCTGCCTTTAATAAGGTCCCCCACCCATAAAAAAAAAGTCATTTCAACAATTGAGAAAACTGTTAATAGGGAGGATTTAGAGTCCAAAATTGCCCCACATTGCTTTTTAATTTCTAACCCCCYCCCCCCCCCCCMAAAAAAAAAAAAATAAATAAATAAATAATAATAAAATAAATAAAAATCCCTCCACATTGTCATCTTTCTAAGTGCCTATTTCTAGCTCAGCAGCGATCTTTGTCACGGCCAAAGGAATCATTTTCTCTACCTTAATAAAAAAAATCACTTCAACTATTGGGAAATCCGTTAATAGGGTGGATTTAGAGTCCAAAATTTGCTACACATTTCTTTCAAGTTGTACCCAAAAAAAATTAAAAATTGCTCCACATTACTATCTTTCTAGGTGCCTATGTATAGTTCAGTGGCGATCTTTTTCACGGCCAAAAGAATCATTTTCTCTACCTTAATAAAGGGTCCCCCACCCAGAAAAAAACTATCACTTCAAGCAAAGGAAACTTTTTTTTTTTTTTGAAGAAAAAGAAACTTAAATGCTGTTACTAACACAGAAGAAATAGAAATTACACGGATTCGTTTGTGATTTGTGGTCGATATGTACAATAAACCTATTCATGGGCTCTCCAATTTTGGCATTTGGAAGTGCTTATTCAGTATATATTTGCATTGATGCTGCTGATGTGTGGGTTGGAAGTATCGTTTTTTAAGAAAACAGTGTTTTTTTTTTTCTGTTTGGAAAACGTTGCTGTCAGGTAAGACATTTCCTGGAGCAATAGCAATACTTTCTGTTTGGTACCAGAACTTCATATATATTTTCAGCATTGGTACCCATTATAGAAAGTCCACATCACTGCCACATCATGTTCTTGTTGGCAACAATGAATTGCAATCTGAGAATATGTCAAATTCGGCATTGCTCCAAACCACACATTCTCGATTTCGAAAGCGTAGCTTGGAGCACTGTTTTTTATGGAAAAATGGTTTCAAACATATTGGTGTTTCCTAGAGCACCATTTTTTTTTCCAACGTGACACAGGTGTGTCACCATTTTTTGGTGCAACAACATCAATGCCAAACAGATGCTGAATAAGTGCTTAAAAATGAGTGCTTATTGTAATAAGTATTCATGAGCATTTGGTGAAAAAGCACTTATTTCAAATAGGGCTAATATAGGTATCTTCAAAATGACATGACAGGCCAAGATAGGCCAGCAAAAAGATAAGTGTTTATTGAATAAGCACTTAAAAATAAGTCTGAATTTTGGGATTCTCTAATAAGTACATGTTTTGGGCTTATTCGGCAAACGCCAATAAATACTTTTTAGTGTGATCCCAGTGCAAGCACTCCCAAACTTGGCCTTCTAGTCAAATGGATAGTTTAGCTTTCACCCTCATTAAATTCACAAATTTTATAATTCATTATTGTTCGAATTTGCCCCTGGACCTGGACCCAAGTCCTAATCGGTAAGGGTGTCAATGGACTAGTTTTGGATTGGACCTCATCCAGTCCAAAATCAATTTGAACGGATTGGACGGACCAAAAAAGATATAATAGATTGGACCAATCTGGTCCAAAATATTTATTAGATTGGATTTGAAAGATACGTCGTAAAAATTTATATTGGATTTGGTTGGATTAAGCCAATATCCAATTCATTGATATAAGATAAGAATATAGGTGTTAATGAATCAGAACATTTTATTAGACTGGTCCAATGGACTTGCTTGTAGGTAAATATTTT